CTGACTTCTCCCTAAGCACATCTCTTTGCCAAGAGTGTTTTCTCGGTATTAACAACTGGCATTTCCATCTATCCAACTCCCAAACCCAAGTCTCGGAGCATCCTTGCCTTGTCTTCTCCTACTTCCTTATAACCGATTGATCACTAAGCACAGAATTTCCACTTCCAAAATGTCTCCTGCCATCTCCCCATTTCCCCTCCCATTATAATAACCCTGGAACCAAAACCACAAGCATCACCACCCAGGAGCTTCCTAACTAGGTTATCCACTAGGCTCTTATTCGTTATTCATATTCATCATTATTATGTCATTATTCACTCTTCCTTCTCAAATCTCTTCATCGTGTCCTGTTGCTTTGGGAATACAATGAAATCTTAAAAAGGCATTCAAGGATCTTCATGTCTGGCCCCAGCCAGGACTACTGTCCTTGTCCCTCGCTGTGGGCAGGAAGAAGGGCTTTCTGCTGTATACCTCTGTTTAACTGATCACTCTGTGTACTTTACTCTTTGTGACATTTTGTCTTTCAGCCTTTGCTTGGTGGAATGCTGATGAGGCTACGAGACTCAACAAAGTCAACTCTGGAGTCCTCGGACATAATTAACTAAATACCCCTGATTTGTGTTCCCAGCATACTTTGTTAACATTAACACTATATTATGTTTTATGGCGTGTGGCTTTTTCTCTTGTTGATTGTGAGAAACTTGAGAAGTATCCCTTATTATTTCCCTCCCTGGTACTAAGTATAGATTTTGCTGTTTGTGTATGTATATGCCCCTCCCCCCATAGTACTTTCTACAAAATCGTGATATTTTTCTTCAATGTAAGTCTTTCCCCATCTCCTGTCTTTGAACCTCTCAGACATATTATAAAATGTAATTAGAATCAAATGATTAAGATTATATATCAACTCCCAAGTCATGCCTTCATTGCCTCATCTTACATACCCTGAAACCTATAAACATATATTTTATTTGTTTGAGGCAGAGTCTCATTTTGCTGCCCAAGCTGGCCTGGAGCTTCCTATGTAGCCCAGGCAGGTCTTCAACTCATGATGACCCTCCTGCCTCAGCCTTCTCAGTGCAGGTGTGAGCCACTTTAAAGACGATATATAGATTTTTTTTCCCCAAAATGTTTTATTTTTGTGAGCTACTAGCGCTTAAAGAGACTCTTGAAGTGCAGTTGAGGGGACTTTGTTATCATGGTGGAATGGCACACTGAACTGAAGACAAAGAGCAGCAGGTTAACAAAATAATGAGATCATTAGCATTTCAAGCAAAAGCGAGTAGTAGAGTCTGGAGAGACAGCTGCTCAGTTGAGAGCACTGGCTGCTTTTACAGAGCTCCTGGGTTTGGTTCCCAGCACCCACGTGACAGCTAATAACTGCCCATAACTCCAGTTCTGATGTCTACCAGACATGTACAGTGTACCTCACCCGGCTAGGGCACCTTCTGATTGGTTTAATAAAGAGCTGAATGGCCAATAGCTAGGCAGGAGAGGATAGGCAAGACTTCTGGGGAGAGAGAGGAACTCAGGGGAAGAATCTGAGAGTTGGGAGATTTGCCATCCAGACACAGAGGAAGTTGGAACTAAGGTACCGAGGAGAGGTAACGAGCCACATGATAGAATATAGATTAATATAAACAGGTTAATTTAAGTTTTAAGAGCTAGTTGGGAACAAGCCTAAGCTAAGGCCAAGCTTTCATAATTAATAAAAAGTCCTGTGTCATTATTTGGGTGCTGGCGGTCCAAAGAATATCTGACTATACCCAACCATAAAATTATTTCCATTGCTACTTCATAATTATAAGTTTGCCACTGCTATGAATTGTAATGTAAATATCTGTGTTTTCTAATAGTCTTAGGTGACCCCAGTGAAAGGGTCATTTGATGCCCACAAGTTGTGACCCACAGGTTGAGAACCGCTGCTCTACTTCCTGCTGCATTGACAAGACATCTCCACCTGCCCCTTTGTTCTTTGGTCCTTGGAATTCCTTCCGAGTCTCTGGGAGCCAAGTCCCAAGCATCACACTCATGCAGCCCGCAGAAACTGTTGAGGGAAGACCGAACCCTGATACCCCTCGGACCTGTATGAGTCACTGGCCCAGACAGCCAGTTCCAGGAAAAGCTTTCTCTTTTCTACTCTCTGATGCAGAGCAGGAGAAACAACGATCTGAGGATCCAGATCACACTGGCATATAGTATGCAATGGTGGGACAAGGGCCTCCTGAATCTCATTGCAAAATGGGACCCCCTCAAAGGGACCCACACTGAGACAGACCTGTGTCAACAGCGAGCACTGTCAGTCGAAGAGCCATCTCTCTACTCAGTCAATGGCACCGGGAGTGTGTAGAAACTTCAGGTCAACTCCTGTCACCCAAGATTCCAAGTCACGGGGGACACTCTTCTCTAAATCCTGATCCACAGGAAGACGACCCTAGCGTGGATACCCAAGCTGAAGTTTTCCAGGGAAGGGCTGGGACTCTGGTCTAACAATTCAGATGACAGCCTCACATCAAAGGAAGGGTTTGGAAATATAACAGAGTTTTTGGCAGGCGATTAATGAGACTTGACTCAAAGATACAATGCTTAAGATTTCTGAAGAAACCACTATTTTTGTCTGAATAAAAAGTATTTATACTCTATTGAAATGTGCTTTATGAAAACATGTTTCAGAAGAACATGAGGCCTGGCTTCTTGACAGACCAAACAAAACCAAAGGCAGGTTTGTGAGGAGGTGGGTTCTGCTTTGGGAGTTACTACTGGGTCCCAGGGTCCCACCCAGTGTTTGATTAGATCCCGAGACTCATCGGAGTTTCGTAGGTGAAGGAGTTTGAGAAAAAGAATTCATACCAGAGGGAAAAAAAATTTCCCTTTTGGGATAGCCAGTCGGTTTCCAGGCTGCCAACTGCGTTTCTCCTCCATGTACTTCTTTGGGTGGGGAGTGGAGGTGGTGTGGGGTGGGTGGGGTTGTTTGTGGGGGGTGGGAGGTGGCTCTTTTTGGCCTGAAGCTACATGAAAATGGAAGTCGCTTCTGATCAGCTAAAGAAGACAGAGAGAATAGTGAGCAGGAGTTGCCTTGAGAGCAACGGGATTTTAGGAAGGCAGTCGAACATGCTCCCTCTGAAAAGTTCCTTGCAGGTGGTTTAAAGACTTCATAGGACAGCCCTGAGAAAATGGCATATGAGCCTTCCCTAAATCCCTGAAGGACTAGAGTGGTATAGATGAACTTTAAAACCAGATAAGCTATATAATTTGAAGATAAAGATCATAGATACTGTCTCTGTTTAGTTTGGGAAACAGAAGCAGGGTTAAACCACGCAGTCCCTCATAACAACTGAAAACAAGCATGGAAAGGTATCTGTGCTCCTTAAAGTCAGGCTGCGGTGCAGAACTGTGATTTACCATATTTATATCAGGTAACTACAGCCATTTCAAATGGCAAGCTTTGTGATTTTAACACAGATTTTATTTTTACCTAGGATTCAAAAGCATTGATTCATTTTGGGCAGTGCTATGGTTTGAGCACAGTTTGTCCTGGCCATGCTGAACTTGGTCTCCAGGGTACCAGTGCTGGGAGGCAGGAGTGCCCTTGAGAGATGGTTTGATTGTTAGGAGGAATTAATGTCACTCTCACAGGAGTGGTTAATTACCTGGTTAGTTACCATAAGAATGGGTGATCTCAAAGCAAGGCAGTCCAGCCGGTTTTTGTTTCCTCACATATTCCTGCTTTCAGGAATGAGTTGAAGAAGCATGACGCTCTCCTTAGTATCATGTACCTGGACTCTCCAGCTTCCGGAACCATGACCCCCGGTACATGCCTCTTTCTCAGATATTTTGTCCTAGCATCAGAAAATGAACTAAGACAGGGCTGGAAAGGCCTAGCTTCACACCACCGTGGTGATCTGATTGCAGCTATATAAAACACGGTTCAGAAGTTCAGGAAGAAAAGAGCTCCTGACGGCCTGGCCCTGTCACACGAAATCTTCGACGTGATGGGAAGTGTCACGGAATCAATGTCAGAAGGAGACTCATGGCTCTAAAGAATTTGGGCGCACAAGCAGAGAACATGATCATGAGCCGCAGAGTGCTGTGGCTCGCACACTTCCCTGCGTCTCAGGCTGCAGCTTTGCTTTGAAGGGTAAAGATGATACAGGAGCGAAAGCACCAACAGACAACACGGCATCCATGTTGAATTGATTTCTCTTGAGTTGACACAAAAAAGAAAAAAAAAATGCAAACCAGAACAACACGGGCCAACACACACATGAAACCTGCTAGCCTGCAGGTCCTCGAGTCACAGGTGTCCCCAGCCCATCTGCTTAGAGTGTACTCAGGAAGAGTGTGCTGTGGAAGTTGTACTTTCTCCCCACTCCCTCCAGCCCCCACCCCCACCCCCACCCCCAACCTCATTGCTTACACTGCTTTGTCATCTTCTTCCTCCAAAGCTTCTTCCTGCCCCTCACTTTAAAGGAACTGATGCTGTAGAGTCCCCTGACTTCCCAGTGGGGAAGCATCCCTGCCAAGTCTCCCTCCCCCAGCAACTTTCAGACTTCCCCCAGAAGCTCCTGTTTCTTTGTGTTGCCTTTCGCATTAAAGAGGTCCAAGGGGCTTACGTTTTAGAACTGCAATTCCCTTGGTGGTCCTAGGAGCCGCCACAATAGAGTTGATGCTCCTTTGAGACAGGACCCCTCTGCAATTCCTGTTGCTCTCCAGAGCCTCCACTTTCGTCCTCACTGCAGTGTTAGCAGCTCTGGACACGCCAGGTGGATTGGATATCTGAGTTCTGATTTGGGGATGCCTGAAGTGTAATGTACACACAAATCTGATGCTGATACATGGACACTCCCCCCCCCCCCCCCCCCCAGACAGGGGTTTTCTGTGTACCCTCGCTGTCCTAGAACTCACTCTGTAGACCTGGCTGGCCTCGAACTCAGAGATCCACTTGCCTCTGCCTCCCGAGGGCTGGGATTAAAGGTGTGTGCCACCACCGCCAGACTAAAAATAATACAAAACACTTTATGAATTTGTGTGTCATCCTTGCACAGGGGCCATGCTAATCTTCTCAGTATCATTCTAATTTTTAGTAGTGCGGAATACGTCAAAGCACAGTCAAAAAGAGAATGGAGGTTGGTTGAGCTGCTCCATTAGGGGTTAGGGTAGCAACTAACTCCTTTCTTCCATAGTCTAGAATCCTGGACTCTCCATTTGTCCATATATTGCCTGTTAGGAACCAAAACAGAAAGAGACAGATGGGGAAATAAAAAGGCATTTCCGATTTCCTATCAGCTCTTCTATGGAACCAAAACGGCATTCTGGCTGGTCACACTCTGGCTGGCGCCTGAGCTAATGAATGGAATTTGGCTAGACAGCCCTGCCCAGCACCAGCATTATGAAATCTTCCTCTGAGCCATCTGAATGTGCAGTTTCTAACCTTGCAGGCCAAGCCCAGCGCAAGAGGAACAGAGAGGAATGGAAGGACACACCCACTGAGAGACCCACATTGCAATCAATCGCAGCCATTTCTAGCGATGAGAAAAAGGTGTCTGGGTACAGCGTGAACAAGTTCAACACTTGTGGCTTTTAAATTGGGAACTGACATGAAATCTGTGGCACTGGGGAGTCTTTTTAGCTCTGATAGAATGTGAGGTCAGAGTTGCTTGCATTTTTTTTTTTTTTTTCATTTTAAATTCCCTTGGTAGTCCTAGGAGCAGGGGCATGCGTTACTTTCAAACAGGAATCTTTATTGTTTGCACAGCACATGGTCATCCAGTTAATTAGAAAAACATTTTTCCCCAAATTAAATTTCCCTAGAAAAACAATGATTTAAATTAAGGGCAAAAGTCTCTCCCCTATACCCCAATATCAGGGACGCTTTCTTGCACCTATTCCTTCTAGAAGATTAAAAGTAAAGTTGGAAGCATAAGGCTGTATTATTTATTTATTTATTTATTTACTGTTAGATTCTGCCATCCACAAAAGTAGCCTGAGCTAATTTACCTGCATGTATTCTCTGTGCTCTTAGGTTTTGCTTGTCCTATGGCAGTACTACACCAAGATATAGCCAGGGAGCAGAGATGGGTAAACACCCAGATTTTTTAAAGTAGTGGGCAAGCGTTACAAGGCGCCCTGAAAGGTCCGCTACATCACCTTTGTCTTTGGCTTCTGAATTCCCTAACAGTTATACCGCTGTGACTTGCTGTCATTTTATTCTTTTTCTTGATCTTTTTGGCTGTCTATATGGGAGATATTGTTTTCACTGTTCTTACCACCTTCAGTAGTTGGACTTTTCTTGTCATGCTCAGCATGAAATGCGTTTTGAATACTTCGGTCCTTCAGAAGCCCAGCTGCCACCAGCCCCATGTCTCCAGGAAGACACTTGAGACCTTTTCTCTCAGATGCTGTCCTGACCCTCGGCAAGGGGAGGGGTGGCTTTCATTGAATTTTACTTCAGTGGCTTCTGCAGTCTGGGATGGCAAAATCTAAGGAATTTGCCCCAGTCAAGGAAATGGGAACCCAATAACCCTCAAACCCCCAAGCATCTCCTGAGTTGATTTATCTACTGGCTTTCTAAGGCTGTTAAATGGAGTGTTAGGAAGATCCCAGAAAATGGCCAAGTACAGAGTTCAAAATCTACTTATCAGGTCACATTTGGGACCATGCAGCGTAACAGTGTGACTTTTTAGGAGCCAAAGATAGGGAGATGGAGGAAGGCGGAGCTGATCCCAGGAGCCCCACACGATGAGTGATGTCCCAGGCTGCAGTTAACTCATTGAAATCACTAAAATGATAGAAATTTGGTCAACACAACTATCGCTAAAAAATAAATGATATCCATGAAAAAGCAAAAATAAATAACAGGAAGAAAGAGCAAATGCTCAGACTCTGCACTCCAGGGTTTACTCTTGCGCTCTTGAGGTCATGCACTCCTGTGTCTATGTCTGAACACTGGGTAATGCTGCCCTGCCGCATCTTCTCAGCACCTGTCCAGTGAAGTCATGTGGTCTTGGAATTGTCCACAGAGGGGATATTTACACCATAGAATTAGCAGGTGATATAAATCACAGCTTAGAACAAGCTGTGATTTATGTTTCATGAGCTGTCTAGACCAAGTATCGGCAAACTGTCATTCCAGATCTGACCCAAGGCTGATTTTGTGTGGCTTGAAAGCAAAGGATAGTTTTAGGTGTTTTTTTTTTTTTTTTTTGCATTTTTAAAGGATTGTAAAAACAAAACATACACATAAAGATATGTGACAGAGACCATATGTGGCTCACAAAGCTCAATTTATTTACTCTCTGGTCTTTTGGAGAGGAAGTTTACTGCTCTAAGGTCTAGATTTAAGAAAGTAATGGGGAAGGTATTAATAATGCAGACTAAAGTGAACATTTTCAGGACCAGTAAGATGGTTCGTCAGGTAAAGGTACTTGCCACTAAGCTTGATGACCTGAGTTTGACTCTCATAACCCACTTGATGGAAGGAGAGCGCTGACCAGGTTGTTCTCTGACCTCCCCGCCCCAAGTCATGACATGCATTTGCACATGTGTATGTGCATGCATGTGTACACATACACACATAAATAAATATATAATTTTAAGTGAACATTTCTGTGGCAGTTGCATAGTAAATCACACAAAGAATTGAAAAAAAATTCTCTTCTAATATCTTAGATCTATGATTTGATTTAATAAGGCTGTTGCTTACATCATTGGTAAGCAAGTCAGGTTCCTAAGAGGACTTCATTGCTTCATTTTTGTCTTGCTATAGTTAAGTGAATAAAAATAGCCAATATTAACATCAAAATTGTACTTACATATTAATTATGACTGTTGGCTACAGATTCAGGAGTTCAAATAAATAAGCAAATGTATCTGGGAAAAGTTATTGGATTATAAGGACTTTACAATAAAGAATATAGCATATTTTATTGGTATTTATAAATCACATGCTGTCCTTTCTTGCAGTAAAATTCATACTAGATTTATTTGTGTATGTGCATCAATCACATTCCCTCATGCCTCCCAAGGAACAAGTTAAGCATTTACTGTTGTACCAGTGGATAAATGCTGTGAGATTGCTCTAGAAGACTCACTAACAAGCTGGATATAGTATCTGATGGGTGCAGAGTTTTCTGGCATAAATTAGGTAACATTCTGATGGTAGTGGTCAAAAGCAAAATACCCCCCACCTCACCCCAACACAAGTAGGTCTGAGTGGCACAGTGAGGATCAGAAAGTCAGTTACCAAGTACTTGCTGCCTAAAAGGCTTGAGCAGTGACCAGCAGAGTGTTCATCCTTGCTACATCAATTCTTTCTGCTTTATTCAGGGCTGGACCAGAAATTGGCACAGAACAGAGTGTGCAAGGTAGACAGCTTTGAACTTGACTAAACAACTGTGTGACAGAGTCAGGGCTGACAAACAAACTGAATGTTGACCATTTGCATGGCAAGAAATACCAGTCCAGTGCTTCCAGTGGCCCAAGAGTGCTCCAGCATTATCTAGGCTTCATCATAAGTATTATGTCTTGTTATTATTCATAAGAATATTTCATTATCATACATGGCTATTATACTTTACTCCCCAGTTATCTGGGTTTCATGAATAGGCAGTTTTAGGACATGATGAACTGAAAATAGATTCATAGTTCACCAATCCAGATAAACTCCACTGTTGGAGTTTGGAACACTGCCATAGTGTAGAGTTGTAAGATGTCCAGCTAGATTGTCACTTGTTTAGACTTTAGACTTTTTTTTTTTTTGAAGAGAAACTGTTGGGATAAATTTTGTTCATTAAAGAAGCATTTGCTTTTTAAGACTGTAGTGATCAAAAGCAGGGACTCAGAACTGAGGGGCACTTAGAGATTCCCCAGGCGAGGAGTAGCTCCTCCTGGGGTGAGAGCCCTTCTTCTGGATTAGCCTCCTGAATCTGAGATTTTTGTTTTGTTTTGAGTAGAGTGAAGCCCTTGCTACTTCAGGAAGAATTCCATAACAAAGTATTTTCCAATTCTGAGAAATACTACAGAAAGAGAGCAAATGATCAGTCGTCTCGTGTACATATGGCGAACAAGACTATTCTCCAAGCCAGACAGCCCCCATCTTCATGACTTCAGCTCGCTCCACCTGTGTAAGACCATCCCAAGGGGACTTGATGGTTGTTGGTGACCTTCCCTCATAAAAGGAGGGCATAGGAAGGGCCATTGGGTTCTCACCTTCGTGTTCAGCCACTCTTCCCAACCAGGCATATGATATGCAGTTCTATTCTTATTACACAGAGCTTCATGATCTCACAGAGAGTCTGTGAGTGTATTGGCTAGGGAGGACAGACGGAATGGGTGGTGGGACATCTAGGCTATCTTGAGAAAGCTATCATCTAAGACCATCGGAAAACACAGATATTTCCATTACGATTCATAACAGTAGCAACATTACAGTTATGAAGTAACAACAAAAATAGTTGTATGGTTGGTGGTCACCATACCATGATGAGCATCAAAGGGTCACAGCATTAGGGAGGTCTTAGGTGACCCCTGTGAAAGGTTCATTTGACTGCCTGAAGGAGTTGTGATCAGAAGGTTGAAAACTGCTGCTTTAGGGTCACCTGTACTCGTGCCTGTAACCCCACTCATGCTCTGTAAGTAACCCTGCTTCTCCAGGTTGAACTTGGGAATCCATCTTTGCTTTGTCATTGGGACTTAAAGAAGTGGGGATGTGTGTGTGGGGGGGGCAGTACCTAGTTGGCCCCAGGGCAAACATTACTGAGACAACATACAAGGTCTAAGATATATGGCCAGTTCACAGCTTTTTGAATCTTATTGCATGCTCAAGACATTAAAACCACCAGCTGAGGGGCCAGCGTGAGAACGCGTCAGCTTCCCTGTCAGGCCAGGTGATGGGGTTTATTCAGAGACAGGCGGTTTTGCTTTCTTCCCCCCATGGTTGCTGTTGTTTTCTTTTCCTTACCACATTTCCTTCAAAGATTCCCATTCATTGAGGGAAGGACCCATGCCACACCGACTTTGGCGTCTGCTCTACTTCTCTTAGAAGTTAGGGAATCGGGGCTCAGGTCATCTGGGTCTTTCTCGTCTCATTCTGATCCCCGTAAACTACAT